CATAAACAGAGAACTACAATTAGTCTGGAGTATCCAACCTTATATACAAGGTTTCCCATACATAAACAGAGAACTACAATTAGTCTGGAGTATCCAACCTTATATACAAGGTTTCCCATACATAAACAGAGAACTACAATTAGTCTGGAGTATCCAACCTTATATACAAGGTTTCCCAAACATAAACAGAGAACTACAATTAGTTTGGAGTATCCAACCTAATATACAAGGTTTCCCATACATAAACTTCAATAGTAGTTGTGAATAGCTGTACATAAAACAGTTAGGTTTCATAGTTGCCGTATTACCCCCCCCCCTCAACCTTCCATCCTCAACCTTTCTTTTTAATAAGTGTCATCCAAAAGAAAAGTGGAAACATAATAAACATAATTATTGTAAATAATTGCAGACGTAAAATTTTTCAACATTGAAATATAGATCATATGAAAGTTACCCTTTAAAATATTGTCCAGACAGGTTCGGTCGATCACCATCTTAATAGAAGCGAAAACAAAATTTATCTGAAAAGTAATATATATATATATATATATATATATATATTTAGTATTGAAGGTGTAATCCTGGAGATATATACCAAACCTGGTATATATACAGGGTGAGTCGAAAAAAAGTGTGATTTGCGGCGCCTGTTGCAAAATTGTACCTTTTTTGTGCAACTCTCCTGTATGGTGTTCTTTAAATATTTGTTGAAATTTTAAAATTTTTTTTTTGGTACTTCAATGACCCCAAAATAAAATCCGCGAACCTTTTTTTCTCTCAAAATCAAAAGTTTAGAAAAACAAAAATGTGGAAATAAATTGTTTCTATCGAAATCTAAAATTTTAAAAAGATTGAATCACAGAATCTCAGAAAATTTGCAAAATTGTAATAAGGAAATTCGCAATTTTCACTTCTGGTATAATTTTTACGGAAAAATAGTTTTTCAATGGTTTTTAAGGTTTCAAATGAATAGCGTATATTTAATACTTAAGAACAAACTAAGAAGAAAGGAACTAGACAATTTAAATTACTTATCCTTAAAAATTAGACCAGAACTAAAAATTGCGAATTTTCTTATTACAATTTTGCGAATTTTCTGTGATTTTGTGATTCAATCTTTATAAAATTTTAGATTTCGATAGAAATAATTTATGTATACATTTTTGCTTTTCTGAACTTTTGATTTTGAGAGAGAAAAAGGTTCGCGGATTTTTTTTTTGGGCCATTGGAGTACCAAAAAACAATTAAAAATTTTCAAAAAATATTGAAAATACACCATACAGGAGAGTTGCACAAAAAAGGTACAATTTTGCACCAGGCGCCGCAAATCACACTTTTTTTGACCCACCCTGCATATATAGTGGGAATATCAATGAAGTTGATGGAAATATATGTAACATTTTTTAAACCAAATTTTTTTGTCTGAATACAAATGTCAAACTGTCTCTTTAGAATAAAAATATCTAAATATTTGAAAATTAAAATTTAACATCTGTAAATAAAATCTCCTATTTATAAAATGTCTTCATATGAAAAACCAAACTTTACTATCAGGTTTTTTTACTTAAATAGTTCATCTTAATTAAGTTTTGCAATGTTTTTAAAGATTTATATGATATCAGATGAAAATATATTATCCTCTCAGGTTTATTTTGGCCGATCTGTTTATAGAATTCATTTAAGGTTTTCATATGAATTTGAAGGTTTTTTATTTCAATCAAATTGACAGATTTTCATATTTATAGTTCAGTATTTTTTTTTCTTGTTAGTTTTCAGAAAAAGGGTTAAACAAGTTTAATTATAGAACTAAAATTGGCGTTTATTCATTAAACCATATAACCAACAAATTAAAAAGTGGAAGTATGAGGGGTTTTCATAGCCAGCCAGCCCCCCTCCCTCCCCTTCATGCCTTGTTTCGGGTTAAGCATTTTCCTAGGAACAACGTGAATATATACCTTGGTTTTACAACCGCTTCCAATCCATAATTACAAGGTGCCAATACTTAACATATTTATGCATTTAGAGTAAACGCGGGAACCGTGCAAAGAATGCGGGAACCCAGTTCGATAGAAGTGTTTTGCGGCATTCTCTTTAGATCTGCGCAGACTGTATCAAATATATTGGTGGTTAGAGAGAGGGAAAGGATGGGAAATGTTTGTGAATCGAATGTTTAATGACAGTATTACGGAGATAATTTTAGAATGATTCCAACCTGATCTGGCAAGTTTAGAAGGATTTCTCGGTAGAGATTGGTTTTACTGGATTTTATAGTTTGAGATAAGCTCAACTATGGTGAATTATTGAGGGCAGTAAAGACAGGGAGAAGGGGGCCGGGGGATGTTTATGTGAGGGGGGGGGGCCGTGGAACTGTAAATTTGGAACTCTAAACCTTGGCATAAAAAGCTGCCCTTTACAGATAAACCTACGATCTTAAATAGATTACAACGTGCTAAAATCTCTTCAATACCTTCACAGAGACAGCGTTGAGATTTCCGAGGACTAAAATCGTAGTAAACGGTTTGATAGCCGTCAATAGTGGGTCTAGAATGCTGATAAAAATCAGTGGAACAATGATGGATTTAAAACATTAATATGGGGTAAATAGGTACATCCAGTAAATAACTAACCCTTTCAAAAAAAGGTTGCGTGTTGATTAACATTCATAAATATTCATTTACTAAAAAAATGAAAAATTTAGAAGATTGACTAAGGGGAAAAAATTCTGGGAAAAGCCTAATGAAGATCCTTCCCTTTGGATGGTTAAACGAAAAGTATTTAACCCTGTAATATCAAAGGGACAAAGCTGTAGTAAATACAATGCTCCAGCTAAAAAGGATTTATTACCAACTAGATTTATCAATATAAAAACGTTTGAAATAATTCAACGATACCTTTTTATGTACCGTCAAGATTCCTTATACGTAGATATAAACTAGTCAAGATTGGACCATAAGGGTTGGGAGTCGGTTAAATACACATTTATATCAATATTTTGGGCTATCTTGTATCTTGTATCTTGAATTTTAAATTTAGTATCGATCAAGAAAATAAATAAAGGATCAACCTATATATCATGCACTTGGTATTGTTTGTCAAAAACCCAACTGGTGTATTAAAATAATATTGTGATTTATTTCCTCATGTTTTATGTATATTTAGGTTCGCTTTTAAACCCCAGTGTATGCATTGCATATTGCATAATGCATATGCAAAATTGAGATATTTTATATCATTTCTTATCTTTAGTACACTGTATAAGAAGGAAAAAGGAAACATAAATCAATAAATTTTGAACAAAAATTTTATTTTTCAAAATATATTTTAAATACAAGATTTTTTAAAATTAGTGAACTGAACAGTCTTTTTGACATGTTTTTTAACATTCAAACTTTTTGGCTTTCAAGAGATTCTTTACAAATCTGAGAAGTTTTAAATATTTTGCATAATTATTTATCTTAATAGTTTGCTTACATTATATACACTATACTGTTCGTAAGAAACGATTTTGTAATTGTTTTTAAGCCTCAACTACAAAAAAAAATTAAGTTAAAAAACGTATCAAATAGGTCACCTAACACTAGGGTTAGCATAGTGCTGGTCTGAATGTATCCATTGTATACTTAATATCTATATATATACTTTGCTTGTCTGTCTGTCTGTTTTTATCCAATAAACGTCGAAACGGCTGAACCGGTCGGGCCCAAATTTTGTGTGGGATCTCGCATAACCCCAGAGAAAGCTTATGGATGATCGAATTTTCA